CGTCATCCGTCTTCCCGTTCTTGCGACCGCGGCTGACTGGGCTGGCCGTTGCATCGCGCGGTGACTCTCGCTGGGGATCTGGAGCCTGGACGCCTGGTGCCAATCTGCCAAGCGGTTTTTCTGTGGCATCACAAATGGTGGCACTCAACAAGCTCGCCTCCCCGCGCTAACGAAGGCTATTTTTACTGTTTGAGGAGTAGTTACTGACCCAGACGAAGTAGGACTACACCTGCAGGTGCCAGCCCGTGGGTCCTGCGCGTCGTCGGCTTGTTGGGTCGATGTTAAGCACCCCGTCTCGAAAGACGTGGAAAGGACGATCGGCCCTGAAATAGCGCAGGAATATCGAAATGATGGCAGCTAACATCGCTGCATTGCTTACCGACGCCGTAGTTGGCATGCTCGTTAGGGTCCCAGCCCGCATTTTTGCCGTGTTTTAGCGTGGCGCAGTCATTAAAACTGGCAGCACGTTCGGGGATCCGAACGTCGTCTATTCTTGTTGGGCGTGATAAATTAGATGGCGCCGAGTGCCGATCCAGTTCAGCGGAGACGAGTGCTAACGCGCCTAACATCTTCCGCGAAACACGCGAGAACAATATGCAATATGATTTCTCGAGCGGAACTAAAAATGCGTTCGCATAATCATCCAGAGATACGGGGAAGCGAGGCGGCAGCGGCAGCGGTACAGGGAAGCGAGGCGGCAGGTGCGGCGGTACAGGGAAGCGAGGCGGCAGCTGCGGTAGTACAGGGAAGCGGGACGGTAGGTGTGGCGGTACAGGGAAGCGAGGCGGCAGGTGCGGCGGTACAGGGAAGCGAGGCGGCAGCTGCGGTAGTACAGGGAAGCGGGACGGTAGGTGTGGCGGTACAGGGAAGGGAGGCGGCAGGTGCGTCGGTACAGGGAAGCGAGGCGGCAGCTGCGGTAGTACAGGGAAGCGGGACGGTAGGTGTGGCGGTACAGGGAAGCGAGGCGGCAGGTGCGGCGGTACAGGGAGGCGAGGCGGCAGCTGCGGTAGTACAGGGAAGCGAGGCGGCAGCTGCGGTAGTACAGGGAAGCGAGGCGGTAGTGGCGGCGGTACAGGGAAGCGAGGCGGCAGCTGCGGTAGTACAGGGAAGCGAGGCGCGGCAGCTGCGGTAGTACAGGGAAGCGGGACGGTAGCGGCGGCGGTACAGGGAAGCGGGGCGGCAGTGGTGGCGGTACAGGGAAGCGAGGCGCGGCAGCGGCGGCCGACCGCCACCGTCCGCGTGATCCATGCTGACCTATTTTGACCTGCCACGGCGTCGTCTGCAGTGGCGCTCGGCCGACAGCGGGCCGACGTCGACGCGACAGATGACATCAACGCCGGCGGAGCGCGGCGGGTCTCCCCACCTGGGCGGCGGGTCTCCTCGGCCGGGCGGCGGCGGGTCTTCCTCGGTCTGGCGGCGGGCACATCTGCATGCGTTGGCGCTCCGAGACGCGCGTCGAAATGTCCCAGGGAGCGGGGCCGCGGAGGTGGTTGAGTCCCGCCGGGAGGTCCTGAGGTTCGCTGGCGATGGATGAGCCAGCTGCCGAAGATGCCGAGCCAGCCCCTGAGGACTGCTAATCGAAACGGAGGCAAACCGCCGGCGTGGTCGACGATGCAATCTATCTGGCAGGAATTTCTTTGTGGAATGGGTTCAGGTTGACAAGTCTCACCCTGCTGTGATCAGGATCGAGGGGTGTCTTTAATTGGTCTGAGTCGCGCATCTCCAGTTGACTCGTTGCTCACTGTTGCACAGCCGCGGATGGCAGTGCTGACAGATCACTGATTCTTCCCTCCCGCGCCTAGCACAATCCTGCTGTTGTGGGGGACGCAGCGAGGGACGAACTAGCACCCGAGAATCACGAACTCGTACTGAACGCGCTCGTAGTGCCCAGTCGCTATCACCGAGCTTCGGCTGGTGACCTCAGCCGTGTCGGTGCTGACCAGTGACCTGAGGCTGACCTCTGTGACCCGAAGCTGACCGCTGTGACCCGAGGCTGACCGCTGTGACACAAGACTGACCGCTGTGACCTGCGGCGCCCCCTGGCACCCGATTCGGTCGCGCGTGCTGCCTGACCGCGCTTGCCAAGGACCGCGACCTGATCTAAGAGACACGCGACTGCCATTATTGGACCGGTCGGTCGGAGCCGAGCTCGAACGGCGGCGATATTGGTCGTCTGTCAGCAGAACAATGGCTGCCAACGGTGCCGTGCCGTTACGCGGCCGGCGCATTTCACAGTAACGTCGGCCATAGTTAGTTTCACACCGCCGGTGTGGCTAGTTCCGTAGGTCCGGCATAGCAACGTCTCACATCCGGATCACATCCGGGCCACATCCGGCTCACGTCCGGTTCACATCCGGCTCACATCCGGCACAGTACCGCCACACGTGCTGGTCAGCATCGTCAGACGTCGCGCACAACGCCGTCGTATTTGGGTTGGTGCCGTCGGACTTTACTACAGTACCGCTTACAGTACCGCGGTACGAAGCCGGTTTACATGCAATACATGTCTGGCGGTGCCGTCACACGCTTGGTGTAGTTACACGACTGTATTGTCAAACACAGCCGTCCGGCTCGGTACACCCACAGCACTCTTTTAGCACGCGCCCGGGTGGCCGGCTAGATACCCTTCGCCCGAGTGGGGGGTCAATTTGACCCCCTGAGATCTCGGGAACTAAGAGAGCTAGACAGTAAATTTACAGGTTGTGTTGATCTGTACGTTACGTCATTTAGGTTAAAGTTTGAGGTCCCTAGGTCGTGACCTTCGGGTCAAATAGGGTCAAACAAGGTCAAATTCTAGGTTAGTCTCCAAAGTGCCCCCAGAACCTAAATAACTGTTTCTAAGCAAAAGGTCGCATGCTCATTTAAGGTCAGTGACCTTTTGTGACCTTTTGAAGGTCATGGTGTCCAAAATCATACAAGACTGCTCTGAGTTTTGCATTTGAATAAGTGACAAAGATTACGTTAGGCAAAATGTTTCTAAAAACAAAGTGTTGACCTGGGTCATTTTAGGTCAATTGCCTATTCGGACCTCTAAGAATTCCATGGAAGATGTATAATGCGGTTCCTACTGTCAATAAATTCGAAATAAGCACCAGAAATTCCCATACAGCAAGCCCCAGAGTAAAAGAACAGGCTGGTTTTGACCTTGGTCTGACCTTCATACCTGACCTTAGGTTTAACTTAATTTGCTTATTCAATATTTGTGTTGCCTAAGAAAGCATCTGAGAGATGTATGGCTTCGTCTAACACTCCGTTGTTGCATCAGATTGAACGATTCCATAGGAATTGCCTTCGCTGAAACCTTGGCCTGACTTTGACCTGCCATAAGTCAGCGACTGTACGAGGCACATGTAGATTTTTATACCAAGCGACTTGCCATTCATTTTCTACAGCTATACAAAATTTGGCGCGGCCGCGCCGCGCCCTTCGAAGCCATTTTGGAAAACCTTCGGGGGTCATTTTGACCCCCACCCGAGCGCGTGTTAAGACAGTGGTCCGGCACAACAGCCACTGCAGTGCCCCGTTGACCAAAGGTCGCAACAAACCCGACACCCATAAACGCGACACCAGTTACTTTACAAGTCCGCGCCTTTGGACACCAATCACTAAACAGTGACCCACTGCCAGCAAGGCCGGCAGCAGTTACGCACTCAGCAGCGATCCGGACACTGGTCATCCCTCACCAGTAGCCTCATCCCCTGTAACACCGATTGCCAGCACCAGTAGCCCCACCCCCAGCACCACCGACTTCACCAGGAGCAAGCACGGCGCCTGCGACTCCAGCTCCAGTGCCGTAGCTCCCGAAAGCCTGGTGCGGGTAACCCCGGCACCAGCAACCAGGAACCACCACCCTCACCACCACCACCGGGAACGCCGGTACCAGGGGCCCGGACACCAGTAATTCTGCGCCGGATGATTCCGTCAGCAGTCATTACGTCACCAATACATCCGCCATGGGAAGCGCCGTCACGAGTCATCACGGCATCGACAGCCCGCGTTACGACAGAGCCCCCGTGTCCGGCTCGGCCCGCGGGCGTAGTGGACACCGATCGGCAAATATAGCGCCGTCTGGCAGCCAGAGGCGCCCGAGATAAGGTCACGTGACAGAGGGTGATGGATTGCATTGAGTAGCCGTTCTGGTAGCCCAGATTTACGAGATGGGTCGAGGATTCTTTCACCCTGTTGTGCGAGCCTGATACGCTTAACGAAGATGGACCGTTCGGGCCTTGTTGCACGGGGATTGCACGACTTGTAGTTGCTGGCTCATCGTAGCCATCTATGCATAACCTATATTTATATCAGACAGCGGCGCAGGAGACTGTATGCAGGATACCGAATATGCTACGCCGAAGTGGGTATGCCGCTAGCGGTGCAATGTTGATCCTAGCCTTAATTTGTTCATTTGTTTACGTTCATCCGTTGTTGATCTACTTGCGTTTAGTATGACGGTACACTTCATAGCTTAAATTCATCTGCACTAGATAATTCTCGTCCCCGCGTCCTCAACTGCAAAGGAAGTGCATGTCGATAGTTCAGCTCGAGCGTCCGCTTTCGGATTCGCCCGCCCGTATCGCGGTGGGTTCGAGCCGCCTTGGGCCCTCGAGTTTTACCCCTGGCTGGTATGGCCTGCGGTGGGTGGCATTGGGCGAGCTTAAGGCCAGGTGACGTCAGAGGGCAGGACCGACCGAGCCGAGCATTGCGGTACGTTTAGCTTTCGCTGCAAAATTCTGCCATTGACCTGGGATTTTACGATCGGATGGTAGGGCAAAGCCTCACGTAACAAGCACTGTTTAGCGTGGGCCCTGATCTTAGACATGTATCTAATCAAAAGTTTGTGGCCAGTTATGAAAAAGGAATGGCGGGGGTCGTCGGTACAAACCCCATGTGCTCAGTGTGCTCAGTGTACTCAGTTTCGTCGTTTTCCGGCCGGCCGGTCGCCGGCCCTGCTCGTCAGCTCCGGCCGACCCTGACCTGACCTCGCCCCGCGCCCTCTCCGGCAGACTTCAAGCGGCGTTCGCGCAGTCAGGTGTGGGAGTACTTCGAGCGCGTGACCCCGATCGACGCGCGCTGCCTCGTTTGCCAGCGCGTCTTTCGCCAGGGCGTCACCGGCAACACGACCAACCTGCGCGTGCACCTGCGCTCTCACGACGTGCACGTGCGCGCGGTGACGCCGGGCGCGCTGGGCGGCCGGGCGGGCCCGCTGCGGGGTCTGGTGGCGGGCGCGCTGCCCCCGCGCCATCCGCCGCCGCCGCCGAGCCGCCACATCCAGATCCACACCGAGGACGGCTCCGTGGTCGACATCAGCCAGCAGAGCCTCGATCAGGAGGCGGGGGCGCCCTGCGACGTCTGAAAGTGGCGACGGTGAGGCCGCTGAGGGGTCGGCCGATGGCGTGGACACGTGCTGTGCCGTCGCGCCCGGGCGGCAGACCGCACTCTGCTATATCACGGGAGCGGGTGTTGGACTGGTACGGGGTGAGGTGTGTGCGGGCTCCGGCGAAACCCCGGTCGGACGACACACGTGCACGGTATTCCGACCCGTGAGCCGTGATTGGAGCGCTGTTGAGCCTGTAAGGGTGACTTGGCGGCTCGTGTTGAAGCTGACACTACGCGTACCTCGCGCTACAACCGTGGCCCAATGCGCGCTCATTACAGACGAGAGCTTAACGATGGTGTGTGCGTGTGTGTGTCCACATGTACCAATCTTCAGCAGGCTCTGTCGACTTGGCATGCTGTTATGACTGCTATAGGCTTAAGTACCCTTGGAATGGCTGGCGCGTCTCGTTTCATTTCCGTTAGAAATGCCATTCCGTCTAATTCACTGTTGGCTGAAATGGCTCAGATTGTGCAGCCAGAGTCGGGCCGGGCCATTGGCGCCCGCGCCCGGCTCAGGCCAGCCCGCTGCGCAACCGGTGCGTGCCGCGCCCTGCATGGGCCAACGCGCGTTCTGTGAGCGGGCGTCGCGTCCGTCCACGCTCCCTGCTCCAGGCGGCCAGTGCCACTCCGTCGGCCATTGACGCGAGCGCCTCTGCCCAGTGCCACTCCGTCGGCCATTGACGCGAGCGCCTCTGCCCAGTACCACTCTGCCGGCCATTGACGCGAGCGCCTCTGCCCAGTACCACTCTGTCGGCCATTGACGCGAGCGCCTCTGCCCAGTACCACTCCGTCGCCCACTGACGGGAGCGCCTCTGCCCAGTACCACTCCGTCGGCCATTGACGCGAGCGCCTCTGCCCAGTGCCACTCCGTCGGCCACTGACGGGAGCGCCTCTGCCCAGTACCACTCTGTCGGCCATTGACGCGAGCGCCTCTGCCCAGTACCACTCGTCGGCCATTGACGCGAGCGCCTCTGCCCAGTACCACTCTGTCGGCCATTGACGCGAGCGCCTCTGCCCAGTACCACTCCGTCGGCCACTGACGGGAGCGCCTCTGCCCAGTGCCACTCTGTCGGCCATTGACGCGAGCGCCTCTGCCCAGTACCACTCTGTCGGCCATTGACGCGAGCGCCTCTGCCCAGTGCCACTCGTCGGCCATTGACGCGAGCGCCTCTGCCCAGTGCCACTCGTCGGCCATTGACGCGGGCGCCTCTGCCCAGTACCACTCTGTCGGCCATTGACGCGAGCGCCTCTGCCCAGTACCACTCCGTCGGCCATTGATGCGTGCGCCTCTGCCCAGTACCACTCTGTCGGTCACTGACGCGAGCGCCTCTGCCCAGTGCCACCCTGTCGGCCACTGACGGGAGCGCCTCTGCCGGGGTGGTGTTGACGTGTAGAGTGTTGCTCATCGCTTGCGGCAATGATTGCTGTCGAGGGTTGGCTGTTGTAGTTTGAAGCTGCGTTGCTTGTCATCAGTGTGACGTTTGGAAGAATTAATACAGGTTGCAAACTTCCGCCTTTTTGTGGGGTTTATGGAGCAAGCAGTGCAATTAAAAATGAACAAAATGGAGGTCGCGCGACAAATTTGTTTTTTGCCCTGACCCCAAGCTAATAAAACCTTATCCTTCAAGTTGCCTCTGAACGACACGACTGACGACGGGAGTCACGTTATTGAATGTGCTTGCTTGGCGTTGTCTGGGTGGTAGGATGTAATTATTAAAGTGTATGCGATAAGATAGATTCCGCCTTTCGTCGAAATCCCGGCACTTTGTCATAAAGGAGGCTCGGTGCCTGAGATTTTCGCCGAAGCAGAGAGCAATAAGCCGACCTATTACTACGATATTTCGAAGTAATGGGCAGTCGGCCTGCTTCGTAGTCAGCTCTTAAGCTTTGCTGGGCCGTTCCTGTAAGATACGCCTCTTTCCGCTGGCGAATCCGGTGCCGTCAAGGCACGATGTAAACGGCTTGTGTTCATTTTACAAATATACGTAATTTTGGCCAGACATTACCATGTTATCCCAACGGACGAGTTCTCACCAGGTATGAATGACATCCATGAATCAGAGCCTGAAACAATCCAACCGTGCTCCGACCCTCTGCATGGAGCGGACTAGCAATCAACTGCGAGGCTGCCAGGCTCTCTGTCGCAAGATCAACGGGTGAACGACTTCCATTGAAAACAAGCAGCATAGGAAGTCCAGGCCGGTGGATGAATACGCGTTCAAGCTTTGTATAGCGGAATGTATTCTGGGCAGCGAGCTTTCACAAATGCTTCCGGGATGTGCTGAATACAAGACCTTGTTCATCCTCCAACAGGAAACTCAATTACCCGTCACAGAGAGGTGGATGACTGGCTGGGTGCCCGCAGTTCTTCCAGCACTAACCAGTCCTTTCATTCGATACGCCCTTTCAAATCTCGAGCGGCAGCCGCCGGGCGAGCGGCCCAGAAGGGCCCCTGGGAGCAGCTGGCCAGTTCGCCTGCCCGGTGCCTGGACCGATTGATGGCGGCCTCTCGTGGACCCGCGGCCGCCGGCCGACCGCCAGCCTGATTGATAGCACGCGCCGCGCTAGATCGACTTCAGATTTCTCGCCGCCGCGCCAGATCGACTCCAGATTTCTAGCCGGCGCGCGGGTCGCCTTCTCCGAGCGCAGCGTTCCGTATCCGCCGACATCTGCAGGGCCTCCGGGGATTCTCCGGGTCGCGATCTGAAACTGAATCACACCTGAGCCTTCGTGGTACGCAATCAGCTGCTCGTCGGCCCATTGATGTAAGCCCGTGATCCGACCCGGCTTGCTATGCTTGGAAGTCTTTCCGTGAATGGCCAGAACTTTGCGCCTACTCGAGTGGCACTGAAGCATATTCTCGCTTACTTCCGGGGTTTTCATTTTTAGGGAAGATGGTTCTTGATGCCAGCAAGGGAGGTCTTTAGCTGCGGGCCTTTTGGCGTCATGAGTTATTATGCTGGAAATAGCCGACCTTCAGTATATCACGAGGTAGCTTCCTGGGTGAAGGGAGATATCGAGCAATCATTTGGATATATTATGAGAATACTCCACGTTCCAAAGAGGTGTTCATCAGCCTGCCGGAACAGATAGCCGTCGGCATTGAAGCATGTTTATGAACATGCCGGCCACGTTCAAGCAAGTTAGTTTTACAATCAGCTCAGCGCGTGCTCCTTTTTAAGGGCACATACACGGTAAATCTGACTTAACATACACGTTAAATCCCACTTAACACGCACTCTAAGTCTGGCTTAACATGCACGCTTCATGTGACTTCGACGAAGGGCGCAAACAGGTTCGTACTGGGACGACCGAGAAAATGTCGAATTGGCACCGACAGGAAAACTTCAGCCTGGGCTTCATCCTCATCGCTCGCCGACCTCAGCGTGTGTGTAAAGGCCCCTGCAACACCTCGCCGATTGGGTGCGAAAGTCGCCGCAGATCCTGCGGTCGTCAGCTGCTGCGAATCAGAAGTGCCGCTCGGAAGCTGGCGGGCCCCCCAGAGAGCCGCTCAAAAGTTTTAATGTGGTGCCTCCTCAGCCCGGGAGCACCTGACGACGGCGGAATCTGCTGCGAGTGTCGCGGAGTTCTGCCGTTGTAGACAAGAGGTAGTCCCCAACGTTACGGCGGCGTCCGATCCCCCTCCCCCCCCCCCCCATCCGCTATATCGGTTTGGGCCGGCCCAATATTGTTGCTGGAATATTTCAGAAAAATAGGAGCCTTTGGCTATTACACACAGCTTAGTTGTTGACCATCATTTGATGGTCATGATCACTACTGTAATTAAAGCTACTTAGTACTTTATTAATGATGCAGAATTCAAACACGAATACTGACGTTTGTCGATGTAAAGTGGCTTCATTTTGTTCAGATATACACATTTGGGAGAAGGCTAGGTGACTGAACCGTTGGCCTGCTCCCTCCCCCCCCCCCCCCCCCAACGAGTTACATAAGTTTCAGGACCTGAGAGGCACCACTTTTCAGCTTTTTTACACGCGCTTTGGGGCCTACGGACTTCTTATGTGGTATCTCTAGTCCAAAATAGATGACCTCTATGGAATGCAGTTGATTGTACAGACAGTTTTCAAAGTGGTAGTGGTTCCTTAGAGAAGTGCTGCGAATTTGCGTGAAGCTGAGTTTTTTCCAGATCTTAAGTCGTTTTCAACTGATCCAGTTGTGGGAGCGGTGTCACGTGATTCCTGTGTCCTGCACCTCTCACCAAAATCCCGCGATTCTGATCTCAGCCCACGAAATTCCGACGTGAAAAGTGTCAAAAGCTCCGCCATACGTGCCAAACATTACAGCACGTTAAACTTTCGCAGCCAAAGTCTGCCGTCGGCCTGGAATTGTGCGATCGGGTGTTAGCGGTCAGGCATTACATAACAAGCACTGCTTAGCGCGAGCTCTCATCCAAGAGATCCATTCATTCAAAGAGTTCGGATAGAATCGTTAAAATGTAGCCTCCCGTAATGCGACGACGGTGGCCACCGTTCGACTCGCATTGTCGGGTGCAGCGTGTCGTCAGCGCCAGGGTGTAACAGGAAACCGTCGCGGCTCTGGCGCCTCCAGCGCGAGACAACCCAGCAGCCAGCTAACGCTCCGATTATCTTGAGCCGGGCGTTGTAGCAATCAGCTGGGGCTCTGATGATTTGGAGCCGGGCGTTACAGCAGTCAGCTGGGGCTCTGATGATAATCTGGAGCCGGGCGTTATAGTATCCAGCTGAGGCTCCGATGATGATCAGGAGCCGGGCGTCACAGCAGCCAGCTGGGGCTCCGATGATCTGGAGCCGGGCGTTATAGCAGCCAGCCGGAGCTCTGATGGTGATCTGGAGCCGGGCGTTATAGCAGCCAGCCGGGGCTCCGATGATCTCGAGCCGGGCGCTGACATGCTGCAGCGTGAGCTTCGGGCGACGCGATTCACCACTCGTGTTTTGGTCGTGTAGCGGCTTTGCGGGCATGCCATGCCGCAGCGTGCCTCCATCCTCCTCTCAGGCGGCCGCTGTGGTGCCGCTCAGGCGGCAGGCTAGAACGTCCAAACTGTGGTGAGCGACCACGAGAGACAGCGATGGCGAGGAATACGGCAGGAATTTGTGCCATCGCACAGGATTCTAAACTGGACGACCGCAAAGATGCATCAAGGCACGAACTGGAAGCAAAGGGCACTAGTGCTGACGGCTGAACCAGGCCGTTTGGTATGAGTACAGCTAAAGCTCACGCTTAGCTGACCTCCTATGAAAAGTTCATCGACGCTCAAACACCACGATATATCTTCCGCGCACCAAAAAAGAGCGGGGCTGTCACCGAGCGCTCGACGACGCGGCGACGCAGCTGGGTGTCCTGACCCGTGTGATTTACCCGTCGAGAGGAACGAAGTGGATGTGCAAGCTGCGAAATCTTCCCAGACAGCATGAGCCTACTTTCGGCTGTTTTTCTTGGAGGCGATGCATGGCGTGTTGTGTGCTAAAGGCGACCAACAGAAAACTTCTGGCATCCAAGAAGAGCTGCAAGCACATGCCGCTTTGAACACAGCGGCAGACGTCCTATTTGCCATAACTTGTTTATGAAGTTGACAATGGAGGACAATGTATTTGGCTTTACACCATGCGAGGACACTCCGGACAAGACCTGTCATTTTCGAATCCACCATAG